TCCTTCCTACCTGCTCTCTTCCCTTCCTTCCTTTCTTCCTTCCTTTCTACTTTCTTCCTTTTCTTCTTTCCTTTTTTTCTTTCATTCTTTCTTTCTTCCTTCTTTTCCTTCTTTCTTACTCCTATCATTCCTTCCATCCTTTCTTTCTCTCTTTCCTCCTTCCTACCTTCTCTCCTTCCTTCCTTCCTTTTTTGCTATTCTTTTCTTCCTTCCTTCCTTCCCTCCTTCCTTCCTTTCTTGCTCCCTTCTATCCTACCTTCTCACCTTTCTTTCTTTCATCCTTCCTCTCTTCTTCCCCCTTTTCCTTCCTTCCTTCATACCTTCTCTCCTTCCTTCATATCTTCTCTTCTTCTTTCTTTCATACCTTCTCTCCTTCCTTCCTTTCTTTTTTCCTTCCTTCCTACATTTTTCACTTTCTTCCTTCCTTCCATCCATTTTCCCATCCTTCTTTCCTACCATCCTTCCATTCTTTGTTTCCTTTCTTCCTACCATCTCTCCTTCCTTTCTTCCCTCAGGTCTTCTTTCTTCCATCCCTTCCTTTCTTTCTTTTTTCCTTCCTTCCTTTCTACCTTTTTCACTTTCTTTCTTCCTTCCTTCCTTCCACCCTTCCTTCCTTCCTTCCACCCTTCCTTCCTTCCATCCAGCCTTCCTTCCTTTCTTCCCTCCTTCCTTCCATCCATCCTTTTTTCCTTTCTTTCTTTGTTCCTTCCATCCTTCCTTTCTTTCTTCCACCCATTATTCCTTCCTTCCATCCATCCAGACCTCTTTCCTTCCCTCCTTTCCTACCTTCTCTCCATCCTTCCTTTCTTGCATACTTTCTTCCTTTCTTCCATCCTTCCTTCCTACCTTCTCTCCTTTGTTCCTCCCTTCCTTCCATTCTTCCTTCTATCCTTTCTTCCTTTCTTGCTTCCTTCCTTCCACCCTTCCATCTTCATCCCTTCCTTCCATCCTTTCTTTATTTCTTTCTTTCTTCCTACTTTCTCTTCTGCTTCATTTATTCCTTCCTTTCTTTCTCCCATCTATCCACCCTTCTTTCCATCCTTCCTTCTTTCCTTCCCTCCTTCCTTTCTACCTCTTCCCATCCTTCCTTCTTTTTTCTTTCCTTCAATCCATCCTTCCTTTTTCCCCATTAATCCATTTTTCCTTCCTTCCATTCATCCTTCCTTTTCTCTATTCCTTCTTTCCTTCCTCTTTTCCCCCACCATTCCTTCCTTCCTTTCTTCCATCTGTCCATCCATCCTTTCTTCCTTTCTTTCTCCCTTTCTTCTTTCCTTCCTTC